TAAAATCCCAAATTCAATTATGGCATCCCAAATTATTTTGGCACTTTACATAGTAAATTATATATAAACCGAATGAATTATGGCATCCCAAATTATAATTATGGCATCCCAAAATAATTTGGGCAGCATGTATAGCGTTTATTGTAAATAAAAAGTAGCCACAGCTTTATAATAATATTCTATTACTCAAACTTTTAGAAAGTATTTATTTTTTTTTATTGTTATTTAATGGTTTTAAAAAATATTTTAACATAGTTTGAAAAAAAAGGAGAGATAGTCTAGAAATAATTTTATCTGTTATTGCAAACAAATAAACAAATAAACTAGTATGGCTAGTATGGCATCACAATCTGTGGCACAGCATGTACGCCACTAACCTGGCACACAATACGGATGTGCTTTGAAGACAGATCATGAATTAACATTAAAAATTATATAAAAATATACACGAAGTTGAAATTAAAGCTCAAAAGTAGAAATATTTCGATTTGGGAAGGTCAAAAATCGAAATTAAAGTCAAAATGATCGAAATTACATCATAGTCATGTGATTTTTATAATTATAATCTATATAATTAAAAAAATTTGTAATGTTTAAATTACCTGTATAAATAAATTCTAAATTGTGTAACCTTACTTCCATTGGCCAGTTTATTACGTGACGTCATGATGTTAAACAAATTAAAAAAAGCGAAATTTATATAATTCCAGCCAGCATTACAATCCTAGTGTGAAGCAACAGGGCTACAAATAGTTGTATACGAATTTTTTTTAAGATTTTCATTGTCATGTTTATTTGTTTTAATTTATTATTTGTTGCACCACCCAACCTGAATCACCCGATGCGAAGCAGCGGGCTACAGCTAGTTTAATATAAAATTTTAAACGTGAATAACTCTGTCAATATTGATACTACAGATATGAAATACATATCATTGGAATCTTCTCAATGAGCTGAATCCAACCGCATAAATATCATAAAAATCGAATCACTGGATACGGAGATCGTTAACTTTGAATTTGAAAATTATTGTTTACTATAAAAATTATAAGACTATTTAATACCAAATTTTAAACGTGAATAACTCCGTCAATATTAATGCTACAAATATGAAATACATATCATTGGAATCCTCTCGATGAGCTGAATCCAACCATGTAAAGATCATAAAAACTGAATAACTGGATGCGGAGTTCATTAACTTTGAATTTTAATATTATTGTTTACTATAAAATTATATGATTATGACGTAATTTCGACCATTTCGACTTTTGGAGGGGCTCAAGTTAAAATCATTTCGACCATTTCAACCATTTTGAAGGTCAAAATTAACCAATTTCAGTTTCATATATATATAAAAATAAGTAAATCAATCTTCTAATCTAATTAAATTTTTATTATAACACATGAATTTATAAAATATATTTATTAATTAAATATATTTTATTAAATCCAATTTTAAATATGTTGTGAAGCTAAACTAAACATAATATACAAGTAGATTAACAATATTCAATTAATAAAGTTAATAAACAGTAAAAGAAAAATTTGAAATTAATACTATTACAAAAAATGTAAATTTCTCTATAAATATTATACTTATAAAATTAATATGTAGGTAGTTTCGACCTTGCTGAATAATTTTCAATTAATTTAGAAAGTTGATTTCATTTGACCAAAGGGGTGTAATACGCTCTGAAGTTGTAAACAGAGAAATAAAAAATTTGGAAGTTAATACCATTATGAAAAATGCACTTTTCTCCATAAGTATTATACCTACACTCATGAAAATTAATATATAAGTAGTTTCAACCTTGCTAAACAACTATCAATTAATTTAGAAAGTCGATTTCATTTGACTTAAGTGGTGTAATTATGCTCTGAAGTTGTAAACAAAAAAGTAAAAAATTTAAAAGTTATTACTATTATAAAAAATATGCTTTTCTATATAAATATCATACTTAGTCTTATTAAAATACAAGTAGATTTAATTTGCTGAATAAACTTACTTAATCATAAAAGATAATTTGATATAACCAAAGTGGTGAGTAGTAAAATTATATTTTAAAGTAAAACATATTTGCAGTAATTTTATTTAACAAAATAAACATATATAATATAGTAATTTTATATTAAAAATAATATACTGAATTTAATAAAAATTAAAAAGATACTATTAAAAGATAAACATTGAAAAAAAAAACTGAAATTTCATCAAAAAAAAATTTTTGTTTATGTATTTATATAAAATTGTGAAATGTAGTACAAAATTAACATTCATCGTTAGTGAAAATAAAATAAAAATTAATTATAAATTCAATATATAATATTTTAAAAAGTTCTATAAATATGAAAAATAAGTAACTAAAAACTCTTAGTATTTTAAAATAATACCAAAAATATGCAATTTAATTATTTTACATAATATAAAATTTTCTCAAAATTAAGCATTATAAAATTCTTACATTATAAAATTTTTCTATATTGGCTAAGCACCTTGGTACCTTACATATATAAGCATTTTCCAGGGTCCTCTGATATGCCATCATTCGACCAGTGTAATTTTCAAAATTTTTATTACTCAAAATTGTTTTGTAATACCAAAAAATCATCTGATTGATGATTACTTAACTAAATAATAAGTTGAACAAAAATTTACATTTGCGAAACTTAAATTATTAAATGTAAAAAAAATGTGAAAAAACCCATTTTACTAATAAAAAACCCATTTCTTATATATATGGAATTTTTAACATATATTATTAAAAAGTAAGTATATTTTAATAAAATATAAAGTAAAATAAAAATTTATATAGTCTTAGTAGCTATAAATGTTTATAAAAGTATAATAAAAATATCATATAAAAGATGGTATTATAATTTATATTTTCAAACAATAAAAATAATTATTTTATGTCAGAATTTGTATTACCATCTTTAGACGTAAATATATTAAGATTTACTGATCTGTTTTCTATAATTTTAGGCTTGTTAGAAAGCTCTTGTTCTGGACTTTATAGGCAAAAAAAGAGATTTATGTTTAAAGTTGAGGTATGAACTTTTTAACATGCTTAAATGCAGATATCTTGGAATCACTAATCCATTTTTTATAAATTTGGGCTCTTCAGAAGTCCTTGATCTGATCTATATAAGCGAAAAGAGCTAGTTGATTGGATCATTTGATCTGAAGATATTTACATTTTAAGTTGAGATACAAATTTTTAATATATATAGTAAGTACTAAGAATTATATTAATTTAAAAGAAATATTTACCAACTTATAGTATAATAATATCAAATAAAAGTTTTTAATACTTACCCCAATTCACTGTATATTATATAGTATTTTGTATAATAAAAATGTACCAAAATCAATATTTTAATTAAAGGTAGACAAATCAGCCTATATGTTTATTATTTAGGCGATCCATTATATTGATAGCACTTTATAACAAGAGAAAACATCTTTGAATTTATTAAATAAGCATCAGGAACTAGAGGTGTGCTCCGGTGAAATCCGTTTAATCTGTCATCCGATCTGATCAAAAAACGGATCATCTGGATTAAGAATGAACAGATTGCGGATAATCTGGATGGATCTGTTGGATGACATCAGATTGATCAGATGTTATGCGGATAACCAGATTGACCAGATTGATCAGATAATCTGGTTCAATCTGGTCAAATTTATACTATTTTTTTCATTATTTTTTTTTTTTTTCTAAAAAAAAAACACTTTGAACTTGGACTTGAACTTCGGAACGACTTGGACGGCTTGGATTTCGAAAGGTAAGCATAAATTTCTTTTTTCTTTTATCTTGGGAATGTCATTAACGTTCCTTTTGCTTCTTTTCTTTAGGGGATGCCTTTCTGAACCCAGTTTTCGGCTTGGACTATGAAGGTAAATTAATAATAGAGGTTTTCATTTTTTTTTGTCATTAGGAACATCATTAACGTTCTTTTGCTTTTTTTCTTTAGAGGGACGCTTTCCTGGACTTGTTTTTCAGCTTGAGTTATAAAGGTAAGTTGGAGGAAGAGTTTTTTTATTTTTTCTTGTCTTTAAAAACGTAATTAACATTCCTTTTACTTCTTTTCTTTAGGGGAACGCCTTCTTGGACTTTGATTTTGGCTTGGATTATAAAGGTAAGTTGGGGGAAGGGTATTTTGTTTTTTTGTCTTTAGGAACGTCATTAACGTTCCTTTTTGCTTCTTTTCTTTAGAGGGATGCCTTCCCAGCATAGCGGACATCCTCATTTTATCACAATTTTAACGATCATTTGTTGATCACTTATTCAATCTTATCACATAGAATAATACCGTTATTTATAAATTTTGTGTAATAATACATGCTCAAATTTTGCAAATAAACTTACTTTTAATACACAAGTTTGTGTATTATTATTTAACATTTTTTAGATTTAAATTTATATTTAATAAATATTAAATTGTTAATGTAAATTTGAGATAAATTTAAATTTAAGCAAAAAAATAATTAGTAGCGTATATTTATTAAATTTTATGCATTCATAATATTGATTTAATTTTGTGGCTCAAGTTTTGTGGCATTTATTTAATTACGTAAATAAATTTTGTGGCATTAAATCATTAAAGTTCGTGATATTTATTTATTAAATTTATAATATTATACACTAAATTCTCTACTGATAAAACTTCTGCATTATGGGTTATATAATTGCATTATTTTTGTCATAAATTATACATAATATAAGAAGTAATTTTACAAAGTTTTAAGTTTCTGCCATGAATATTCGGCTTCTGCCATCAATTTTAAGTTAATGATTCCAAATAATCACATATCAATAATCTATAATGTAAAAATTAAAAAATCATGCAAATCGTCATATAATTTAAAGCTGTATAACAACATGACGCTTTTCATTTTGTCTAGTTATTTATTTCGGCATATTACTTTCAAAAATTAGTTTTTTTAATAAAATACAAATATATGATCGGCAAATGATCGGCAAGGTGATATAAGGATGTCCGCTATGCTTGCCTTCCTGGACTTGGATCTCAGACTTGGGTTATAAAGGTAAGATGGGGAAGTGTATTTTTTTTATTTTTGTCTTTAAGAACGTAACTAACGTTCTTTTTTGCTTCTTTTCTTTAGGGGGACATATTCTTGGACCTGGATTTCGGCTTGGGTTATAAAGGTAAGATGAGGAAGTGTATTTTTTTTTTTTGTCTTTAGGAACATAATTGACGTTCTTTTTGCTTCTTTTTTTAGGAAGACACCTTCTTGGACTTGGATTTCGGTTTGGATTATAAAGATAAGTTGGGAGGAGGACATTTTTTTTTTTTTGTCTTTAGGAACGTAACTAACGTTCCTTTTGCTTCTTTTCTTTAGGAGAACGCCTCTTGGACCTGGATTTTGGCATGGGTTATAAAGGTAAGTTGAGGGAAAGGTATTTTTGTTTTTTTGTTTTTAGGAACGTAATTAACGTTCCTTTTGCTTTTTTTTTTAGGGAGACACCTTCTTGGACCCGGATTTCGGCATGGGTTATAAAGGTAAGTTGGGAGAAGAGTATTTTTGGTTTTTTCTTGTCTTTAGGAACGTAATTAACATTTCTTTTGTTTCTTTTTTTAGGGGAACGCCTTCCTAGACCTGGATTTCGGTTGGGATATAAAGATAAGTCAGGGAGGGGTAATTTTGTTTTTTTAGTCTTTGGATAGTCTTTAATGTTCTCTTCTTTTTTTTTCTTTAGGGGTCTTCAAACCGGTTCGATCCAAATCTTAAACTTTTTATAAATATTGTGTCAAATAATTTGTTAAACATCATGTGTAATAACGTAAAAATAAATACTATGTAAAATTTCTAATTGTCAATTAATATTAATAAAAAGTATTAAGTAGAAAAAATTGAATTCAGATTCATTGGATTCACTAGATTGACCGGATTATTCAGATATCTGGTCAACCATCTGGTCAAATTGGTGAGCAAGTATTGACCGGATATCTGATGATCCATCTGGTCAATCTGATGAATCATCTGGATCAATCTGAATCTGGTCAAATTTCGGATGGATGACCAGATATCTGGATTGACCAGATTCAGAGCATACTTCTAAATTAATAAAGGCTTAATATATTGCCATTTTTTTTCGTATTGTGACTTATTCACAAACAGCTACCTTTTATACATATAACTTTTATTTCACCTCACTAGTATCTTGAACCTAATAATAAACAAGAAATTTTTAACAACAAATATTAGCTTTTACATTATGTTCTAATTTGAAAGAAAATATACCTAATCCTAACAGTACATTTAAACACCTATTTTCCATTTGATCTACTATATGCAATCCTTATTCAATAACAATAAAACCAAATAAGCTAATATATGTAGAATTGTTTGGATTATTGAAAAAAGTCATTGATTCAGTTATTCAGTTAAAGCTGATATGTATTGAGAGCTAATATCTGATATATACAAAAAATTTCTTTATGATGTACAGAAAAAAATTGATGAAAGCCAAAATACAACTAATGATCATATTATTGATATTATTAGTATTAACAATTCTAATATCACCAAGCATAAAGGGCGCTCACTAAAAAGGTTGAAATCTAGTGTTGAATAATCAACGTCTAAAGGTAAACAAATATTAAGGAATAATGCACATACCACAACAGATAACAAAGAAAATGCTGATGATAATGGCAACATCAAAGGACGTAAATGTGAAAAGTGCAAACAGTATGGCCATTATTATGCTAAAACTTGTCAGGCTTAAATACTTTAGAATTTATTGCTAGGTACTTTTAGGGTTTATTTTTAGGGTTAGTTCATTAGGTTTCTTTAGGTTTCTTTATTTGATAGGTTGGATGGTATGCTTTTGTTAAGTTTCTTTCAGTATTGTTATGTTTGCTTGGGTTTTTCGTTTATTCATTATAGTTTGTTAGGCCTCTTTTGTTTTTTTGTTTATTCATTAGGTTACTTTATGGTTCATTAGGTCCGGTTGGATTTTTTGGGTTTCTTTGTTTATTTTTTTGTTTATTCATTAGATTACTTTATGGTCCATTAGATCTGGTTGGATTTTTTTGTTTATTCAATAGGATACTTTAGGGTTCGTTAGGTCCGTTTAGGTTTTAGATTATTTCATTTATTTGCTTTTATAATAGGTTCGTTTAGATGTTGGATTTATTGCTTGGGCTTAGGTTTATTTGGGTTGTTAATAATATGGTTAATATTGCTCATTTGGGTTCATTATTTTGGGTTCATTAGTCATTTTTATTTAGGATTGTTAGATTTGTGTACTTTGGGTTAAAATCGAAAATAAAGTTTACGTTAAGTCACGTGATAAATTATAATCATGTGACTTTTGTTTGCACAGATGTTGTACGAATAGCAATAGTCTTTTAAGAGATATTAATGAATTAAATTTATGATAAGTGTATCTAGTAGCCAAAAAATAATAGCATTTAAATTTGAAAACAGTTAGTTATATTGAATAATGATTGTGTAGTTGATTTGCAATATTAATACCTTCTATATGATTATTGTTGATAAGATTTTATAAAAGGCACTTTTAAATATAGATTTAAATTTTTGCTGTTCACTTGACCTTTTTTTATTTCATTATTAATATCATATATATATTGTATTTAATATTATTATAGAACTATTATTTATTTATAATATTGTCAATATATTATTTATTATAATATTAGTTAAAAAATTTCACTTATTTTTTTTTTCTTTTTTTAAAGATACAGATGAATATTAATATTTCCATGTATTTATTTAAACAGTTTCATATATATAAATATTTTTCATGAATATCCGAATTTTTTTATGTAAATTACGTAACTCTTTTGTGATGATCACATGATTTACGCAGAATTTTTGGGATCAGGTGGTTTCACATGACACAATGACACATGACGACAGTGATGTAACACGCGAAGTTTCATATATAAATGTCTTGGCGACTTATCTTTTTTTTAGTTATCTATCACTGTTTAAAATGTCGCTCAATTTTCACGGTTCATTCTCTTACAAGAATGATCTCATCAACGTTATCAAAATTAGAGACAACGTCAACATGAGAGTTCAAAGGGAGAATAATCAAGTTGCAGTCATTTATTTCGTAAATGATCAGGATAATAGAATCCGTATTCCGCAAGGAATTATTGTAAGAGACACCACCGATAACACAAATGTAAGGCCTTCAAGGTTCGATAGACAGTCCTTTCCAATTTCGTGGGTCTCAAGTTACGAGATATACCTTAATGGTGAACATATAGTATCCCTCGATAACCAAAAACAACAGGCGATAAGAGGGATCGACGCTCTTGCCTATTCTACTACCGATGGTGAGGATAGTGGTAGCGATGGTGAGGATGGTGGTAGCGATGGTGAGGATGGTGGTAGAGATGGTGAGGATAGTGGTAGCGATGGTGAGGATAGTGATAGCGATGATGAGGACAGTGTTGTTGATGATGAGAGTAATGAAGGCGAAGATTGGGGGCAGTTGATACGAAATTATTTTAACGAAATCCATAGGATTATTACACGAGGGCACAGAACATTAAGAATACCAAGGCAAGGAAGAAGAGATTGGATTATTTTTTCAAGTAGACGCAATACCCGAGGGGGAAGTACTCTATTGCATTCAAATCACGGAGATTTCCAAGTAACTTTATCTGGAAATATTTATAGATTTGATGGATTCTTTCTCTACTATGAGGATGAAGATATGTACGAGGGTGATGATGATAATTAATAATCTTCAATGGTAATTATTTATAAACACTATATAAAATAGGTGTAACCCAGCTCTTTTATGTATTTTGTGTATTTCTAATAAAGTATATCTATGCGACAAAAATAATATGTTAATCTTTTTTGATATTCAACTTGATTTTTAAATATTCTGGAAGGTACTTATCTGCAGTATTCATTATTTCGCAGTAGGCACAATTATTCAAACAAATTTCTTTTAGTGGCTGTAAATTTGCAATAAAGCAATTCCTGGAGTGTCATTTATTTTCCAGCGCTCATGCCTCGTATAATACAACTGACGACCATTTTTATTTAATGATTGGAAGTTTGGAACAAATGAAACAAAAGATAAGAATGTACCCCAGAACGCTATCAGATTCTATTTTGACTTAGGAGAAGCTTTATTTAATCGATATAAAGAGTTAAACCCACTTATGGTAAAGAAGGAGCTAGGGCTTTGGTTCTCTGATAGTACACATGATCGCATAACTTTTGTTTACAGATTTTACAGATTGAATAAACATTCTATAATATGTTTACATTATATTATAACAAATATAAAAATCAAACCCTACATATGAATATGAAAAATTCTCGGCGTTATGTTACACAGAGAAATTTTTTTTCAATGGTAGCGAATAAAATTTCTTTCTTTAAAAAATCCGTTAAAAAAATAATATTTTTTTTTTACAACTCAGAGTTTTTCTTTGTTCAATATAAAAAAAAAAAATTGGTTTTCTTTCTTAGAAATTTAAGGTTCATCGATATAAAAAAAAATTTTTAATATTATTCCAAAAATGATACCAATGAATTTTTACTAAAAACTATTAAAAAAATTTTTTTTTTTTAATAAATCTTTGAAAATTGAAGACAAATTTTTTCATTTAATAAATAATTTGCGTTTCATGTGACTTTTGGTATTACCGTCCGTGAAAAAAGAAAATAAAATAATGCAAATATCCAAGCATAATCCCTAGGAATATAATTATTGCTTTACAAAAAATAAATAAATAAAATTTTATATTTTTTGAGTATTGGCTAAATATCACCGCTGGTGATTGCCACCTTACCGGAATTTTGAGTAGAATTAGGACATATCATGAAACTCTGCCTGCTAGTATTTGCTAATGCTGGTCCGGTGATGATTACCGCGTGGTGATTTTTTGACATTTCTAAATCACATAAATTTAATCAAATAATCGAACTTTTTTAAATAATTATAAATAATTCAATATATTTATAGTACATGTGTGTGTGTAATGTGCAAAATTATCTTTGGTTCTTTAAAATTAGAATTGAGGAATTTATGCGAAAAGCCTTATTATTAATAGTTATAGATAAGAGATATCGGTATTCGACCGATACGATACCGTATTTTGCACTGTATTTTGAGAGTCACGGTACCCCCCTATGTATAATACCTGCAAAAAACAACTCATTTTCTAATTTCTAATGATCTTATTATATAAATAATATAATAAACTTATAAGTATAAGACCTCACAAGTTTTAAACATCTTCCATTAATAATAAAACTCGCGCAATAGAGGGTGGCTCGCAAAATACGGTATCTCTATTTCTCACCAATAACTATTTGACTATTCAAATCTGATTCACTCCGCTTATTATAATTGACCGGAGAAGAGTTAATGGTAATTAATTTAACTTATGCTAAATGCGCTAAATGCAAGAACAAAATTCGTGAAAATAACAAATTTTTTTAGCGGTTTAAATTATGTAAGATTTATTGCTAAAAGAAATATTAATAAGCGAAATATTTTTCAAGTATCTTGCATGAGCAGTATGGCCTGAGGAAGATAATTTATTATTCTACTAATTATTTTGATGAGTCTTGAGAGCAATGGTAATTGATAATGTTACGATTTAGAAATATAATGCCTTCCGTTCCACTTTGGACAATAAAAAGAAGTTCATATGGAATCAAAATATTAATTTTATAATATCTGTTTTAATTAATTATTATAATAATGAGATTTTTGTTTAATACTCGGGTACAGGGAACTGAAGTTATTTCTCGTTTGTAGGATAAATAATATTTTATTTAAATAATATTTAAAGAGATATATTATATAAAAATATAAATAAAAATATAAAATATAAGATAAAGCAATAAAAAAAATTTAGATTCACGCCTAAGTTACATCCGTTACTCAATTATAATTTTATTGTCGAAATTGAGTGAATTGAGTAAATTGATTATCCGTGATATCTGAGGAAGAATAATTCGAATAAGTATTACCTCGTTGAGGGAAGGTAGGTACAATGATTATTTTAAATCCGGGAATATCAAAATTAAAGATTTCAGGTTGAGAAGGGTTAATAGTTGTCGTATTAAATGGAGAGAAAGTATTTCCAATACTAGCCCTGTAAAAAATCTGATCCGTGTTTTATCTTTCCATGTTTTTTCCGTGAATGTATCATTTTCATAGAATTTATAGCCTTAAATCATGGAAATTTTCATCTCGCTAACACGGATATCCGTGAATGTATCATTTTCACGGAATTTTTACGGAAGACACGGAGAAATAATGGAAATATTCGGATAAAAATTTTTTATAGGGTAGGTTGCGACGATGACGGGTGACCATATTGCTGCGCATACAAAGAGGTGATCGGAGGAGAATAGGATTGCACATTAGACGTGTGTTGTTGATTGAAGTGTTTGTTATTTGTGTGAGATGTTGGGGAGATACTATTATCGTTCATCATGTGAAAGTCAACATTGATAACATTGTCACGCTCCGGTTGAATAACATCAGCAGTTGATTGTTGTAAATCAGTTGGAGGGTAGGATCGCGAAATTGTAATGTTTTCATTAAATGTGTGTTGATGAACAGAATTATTTGTTTGAGATGTATCATCGCTCATGGAAAAGCCAGAATTGGAAGCAACGATATTTGGAAAATATCCTACAAATTGAAACTTTTTTTTATGGAGAGATTTCAGAAGTCCTTTTTATAAAAAACCGTTATAATATAAGAATGATTGAATCACTAAGTTGTTTCAAAAAAAAAAAGAATGTACAGAATTTTGAATTTTGCATGTTACTCTAAAAAAAAACATTTCGGCTTCATTATTACTTTAAATAGCTAAGATAAAAAAATAAAAAGTGGATTGCATACAATTATAATAATAATAATAATAATAATAATATTTTATATAGAAACCTAGAAATGATTACTAACATGACTAAGGTCTTACGTAAATTAACTTTATTGATTGATGTATACGATTTAAGACCTAAGCCCGTGATAAGTCACGTTCACATTGCCACCAAAATAATACTTTATAATATATTGATTTAACATTACCCTACTTTAAATGAGTTACAAAATTTACCCCTTTTTATAATTGTTTAAAAATATTTTCTCTAAAAAACATTTTACCTTGTTTTGCATTTTCAAGTCAAAATCCTAAAATTTTCTTCTTTTCATAATTTCGTGCTCAATCGAACCGCTTACTCTGAAACATATCATTTTTCATACTTCTAGAAATTTCAATTTTTCTTCTCTTTGATCTTCAAATTCATTCGTCATCTCGGACGTTACATTTATAACGTCATACAATTTTAAACTACTAAAAATTTATACACTAATTCTAAATATAATACTGCGCACACAAAAAAAATCAGGAAATAATATTGATAGGTTACATATACATCATTTTTTTTAAAAACACATAAAATAATTTTTCTTTCCTGATTATCGAAAATAATTTAATAAGAGGATGTAAAGTTTTGGATGTTGGGTAAGTTTAATTCAATCTTCAAATATGGATGAATTCTATGAATCTACAAGCATGTATAATTTATTAATTTTATTCGTTACTTCTTTTTTTAAAAGATGTGGTCCTGGCACTTGGTTATTAGAATTATCAAATACATATACAAGTTCTCAATTTATCGGACTTGATATGAAGCCAATATATCCACAGGAGGTAAATACGAAATAAAAATAATAATTTTATTTCATGTGAAGTGGGGAAATTGTGAAGTGGGAAAATTTTGTGAAAGTGAGGAAATTTTAATTTTAATTTTTCTTTTTTCAATAGACCAAGTAAGCTAAATTTTATCGAAGGAAATATATTTAATTACCTTTTCCTGATAATGAATTTGATTTTGTACATATGAAATTATTCTTACAAGAGATCAATGGAATTTTGTTTTTTCTGAGCTCATGAAATTATAGAAGTATAATTTTTCTTTCTTTGAAGTAACGCTACTGTATCACTTACTTTATGATCATCGTCATTTAAAGGGTAACAAAATCAGGTGGATTTGAAGCAGGTCCAATTTTTTAAAAATTATATGGAGGAAGTAAGTTTATTCTTTATTATCTTGTATATCTTTGATGATGGAACGGTCTAGACTATGTTAATCAGCAAATAAATTCGTATTTATACTAATTAAATATTAATTTCTTTCAATTAAAGTTCATGACTCTTCCTTCATGTAACTAGGGATGGCAAAAAACATGTTTTAAAACAGTTATGGCGTTTTAAAACATGTTTTAAACGTGTTTTAAAACATTAAGCACTTTACTAGCCTTTACGACGTAATACATATTTACAATAAAAATTTAAGCACTTTATTATATAATATATTTAGAGTATAGCCGGACCGACCTTGTTGGGAATATAGCTTAGTGATACTAGTGATTCGTTTAAATAAAATGTGCGCTAACTCGAAAAAAAAAAAATTATATAATATATTAATTTTAAATCTTCTAATCGATCAATTAAATCAATAACTAATGTTATTTCCACAATAATTACACACTTTTTGACGAGGTGTTATTCGTAACTTTTCAAAGTGCTTACGGACGTCTTCCGATGATGGTTTTTCACGAGAATAATTTTAAAAAAGGTTGCTTAAAAATACAAAAAAGGTCATTAAAAAATAATTACGCATTAATATGTCGATCAATGTTTTAAAACAAAAAAAAACGTGCCATCCCTACATGTAACCTTGATTCAATATTTGAATCACATTCGAATATAACAAAGATTCATCGAGATGAAAGGAAGACCATCATTGGACCTATTTTTATCATTTTGTACTACGGAAATGGCAATAGAAAGTCTAAGTAATGAGTTGGGAATTTTTAAAGAGAAATTTAAATATATGGCTGTAAATGATATAATAGACAAACAAACCTGAAATTAATTATATTAGATTTTGTACTCAAAAAAATTTAATATAAATAATACATTTAAGAACATTTTTTTATGTAATATAAATTTTATTAAGTAAAAATAATCTTACGTTATTGTTCAGTCGATTAGAAGTATGGGGGCTTTTAGTGACCGATATTTTTAAGAGACATCCAATATTGAAATCAGTATTAGTAACATTAATTCCTATTGGCAATTCACTTATTGGATGGGATAGCCGATATTTCTATATCCTGCATGAACAGTAGAGCATTTTGAACTGGTATAGTCCTCAAATATTGTCTCATACAAATATAATGCTGTGGAAGATAATTTATCATTCTACTATTTATATTGGTTATATAAAAAAGATAAAAAAGAATTAATTTAAAGATATCTGTTTCAATTAATTCCTCGATATCTTCCACAACCGTTAACACTAATTAGAACAATGAAGTCTTTGAATGCTAAGGGGCTGAATTTAATATTAGATTAATCTCGTTTGTAGGATAAATAATACTTTATTTTTAAAAATAATATTTAAAACATGAACGTACGGTACATCAATATATAAGATACATTAAATAAATATATAAATAAAATTTATAAAATATAAAAATAAAGTTAAGCAATGATAAGAATTTAAGAAAAGATTTCACGTTTAAGTTATATACGATACGCAATTAAAATTTTTATTGTCGAAATTGAGTAAATTGATTATCCGTAGTACCTAAAGAAGAATAGTTCGAATAAGTATTATCTTGTTGAGGGAAGGTAGGTATAATGATGATTTTATAGCCAGGAATGTCAAAACTGAAGATTTCAGACTGAGAAGGGTTAATAGTAGTCATGTTAAATGAACCAAATGAAGAAGAAGTATTTTCAATAGGTTGCGGATGATCATACTGCTGAACATACGGCGAACTGATAGAAGTTGAGGTGATGTTTTCATTAGATGTGAGTTGATGAACGAAGTAATTATTATTTGTTTGAGATGTCGGGAAAATATTATCATCATTCATGGGAAAGTCAGAATTGGCAGCGATATTTGTAAGATAACCTTGTTCCAGTTGAATAACATCAGGAGCGGTTGGTTGTAAATTATTGGGTTTAGTAAAAATGTGATCATTTTGATCATTTTGTGAAGGTTTATTATTCATGGTTAAATTTGAAGAAATTTTTACAAATTAAAACTTTTTTTTTTTGTGGAGATTTCAGAGGTCCTTTTTATAAAAAAATCGTAATATAAGAGAAATGAATCCTTGGTATTAATACTCAAAATAGTATAGTTCTGTTTTAGAAAAAGATGTACACGTTGTTTAACCTTTTATGGAACATTTCCATTAAATACAATTTGCGCAATCCTTTTTTTTTTTTAAAATAATTTCCTGATGAAGAAAAGCTCTGTGTCATTGGCATATAGTCTTATTTCATCATATATGGTATTTACTATGGTAAAAAAAATTAAATATTTTTTTTATGAGAAATGATCGGCAATAATGTGATACACATGGATCGCATAACTTTTGTTTACAGATTTTACAGATTGAATAATCGTCCTATTATTAATGTTTATAATAAATATAAAAATCAAACCCTACATATGAATATGAAAAGTTCTCGGCGCTGTGTTAGAGAATTTTTTTTCAAAAGGTAGCGAATAAAATTTCTTTCTTTAAAATCCGTTAATTTTTTGTTCAATATAAAAAATAAAAAGAAAAAAAATTTTTGTTTTTCTTTTCTAGAAATTTAAGGTTCATCGATATAAAAAAAAATTTTTTTTTTTTATAATAAATCTTAGTTAAATGAAAAAATTTTTCAAAGTCAACATAAATAATATGAATTTCACGTGACTTTGGGAATTACCGTCCGTGAAAAAGAAAATAAAATAATGCAAATATTCAAGCATAACCCTAAGAAAATAATTATTGCTTTACAAAAATAAAAATATTAAATATTTATATTTTTTGAGTATTGGCTAAATATCACCGCTGGTGATTGTCACCTTACCGGATATAGGGTGGAATTTTGAGCAGAATTAGGAATGTCATGAAACTCTGCCTGCTAGTATTTGCTAATGATTACCGCGTGGTGATTTTTTGACATTTTCTAAATCACATAAATTTAATCAAATAATCGAACTTTTTTAAATAATTACAAATGATTCAATATTAATTTATAGTACATGTGTGTGTGTAATGTGTAAATTCTCTTTGGTTCTTTAAAAATTAGAATTGAGGAATTTATGCGAAAAGCCTTATGATTAATAGTTATAGATGAGAGATCGGTAATTCAACCGCCGATACCGTATTTTGCGGGTCACAGACCCACAGTACTCCCTATGTATAATACCCTGCAAAAAACAACTCATTTTCTAACGATCTTATTATATAAATAATATAATAAACATGCTAGGTGTTACGTATAAGACCTCACAAGTTTTAAACATCTTCCATTAATAATAAAACTTATGCTAAATGCGCTAAATGCAAGAACAAAATTCGTGAAAAGAATAAATTTTTTTAGTGATTTAAATTATATAAGATTTATTACTAAAAGAAATATTAATAAGCGAAATATTTTTCAAGTATCTTGCATGAGTGGTATGGCCAGGAAAGATAATTTCATTATCATTCTACTATTCATTTTGATGAGTTTTGAAGATGAGCGCAATGGTAATTGATAACGTTACGATTTAGAAATGTAGTGTCTTCCGCTCCACTTCGGACAATAAAAAAAAGTTCATATGGAATTAAAATATTAATTAAATAATACTATCTGTTTTAATTACCTAAATAAAATGGAATTGAAGTTTACGTGAGAACGTGTAAATTTTCGTCACATGATGCCGATTGTTATAATAATGAGATTTTTGTTTAATATTCGGGTACAGGGAACTGAAGTTTGCGGGATAAATAATATTTTATTTAAGTAATATTTAAAACATGAACATACGGTACATCAATATAAAGAGATAAAAATATAAATAAAAATATAAAATATAAAAATAAAACAATAAAAAAAAAATTTAGATTCACGCCTAAGTTAACATACTATGTATAAATTTATTGGGTAAATTGAGTAAATTGATTATCCGTAATATCCGAGGAAGAATAATTCGAAAAAGTATTATCTCGTTGAGAGAAGCTAGGCACAATGATTATTTTAAATCCGGGAATATCAAAACTAAAGATTTCAGGTTGAGTGTTAATAGTTGTCTTATTAAATGGAGGGAAAGTATTTCCAATAGGTTGCGACGATGACGGGTGACCATATTGCTGCGCATATGAAGAGGTGTTCGAAGGAGAATAGGATTGCACATTAGACGTGTGTTGTTGATTGAAATTATTGTTATTTTTGTGAGATGTTGGGGAGATACTATTATCGTTCATCATGGAAAAGTCAACATTGATAACATTGTCATGCTCCGGTTGAATAACATCAGCAGTTGATTGTTGTAAATCAATTGGATGGTAGGATCGCAAAATTGTGATGTTTTCATTAAATGTGGAGTAATTATTATTTGTTTGAGATGTTGGAAACGTGTTATTATCGTTCATGGAAAAGTCAGAATTAGCAGCAGCGATATTTAGAGGATATTCCTGTTCCGGTAGAATAACATCAGCAATTGATTGTAAATTATTGGATTCAGTATAATTATTATGTGAAGGATTGCTGTCATCCATAGTGAAATATTTGTAATTTAAACAAATTAAGGTAATTTTTTGACGGAAACTGATAAATTTCGAGTTTCTTTTATAATAAAAAAAAAAATTGATGATCTGCAAGAAAGCATTCTTCTTTGTTGAACTCTGAGTTAGAGTTGTTTCTTTATAAGGCCTTACTAAAAAAAAAAATTTTCACTTTACATAAAAATAATTTTAAACTAAGAATATAAATTATCTGCATTCAAATTTCTCCTTAAACATTACCAGTTCAAAAAACTTCTCCTTAGACAAAAACATTGATATCGTTTCATATGAATTACCTAATAGAGAAAGCTACTATCGTACATACTCAGCCACTCAGAAATGAATATTTTTTTCTTTTTTAGGAATTTAATATATAAAAATTTTTTTAATACGAATTACTGTATATCGTTTATTAAATGGAAAATTAAATTTAATAAAAAAATTTTTTTTTACACTGAGAAAAATTTTTTGTTTTAAATTAATTGTAATACGAATTAATAATTATAATATAGAATTTTTTACTTTATATGACATGATAAACTTGGACTATGCGGAAAAAGTATTATAAAAACAATAAATAAATACGTTCTTTGGTAATAAAAAAAAAAATTTTTTTATTTTAATAAAATCTTTAATTGCTAATCCGTATATGAACGATAGACCCCGTTTTTACTTAATAATTTAAAAATAAAAATAAAAACTATATATATTCAGAATACGTAATTTACGTAATTTAGGGGTGACGTTGTCTCCACTGGACCGTCCAGTCAAAGTAAACACAGCCATTCCAATCCAGTAAGTACTATTTTTTGCGAAGTTATTTTAGAATGGAAAAATTTTTGCTGTTTTAGACGTTATTAAAGCATAAAAAATTTTTTTAATTAATTTTAAAGAATAAAGTAGCGGATATCCAAAAGTATATATACAGAAAATTTAAGACTTCTAGCTGATATTTTTATGAGACGAAAAAAAATGTAGCAATGTTTAAGTATTTTATAATGAATGATCTGCAGAAAATGGGAATACGGGGTAAACGTTAAATAAAAGTACTAAGTTGGTGGCGCAGCTGATCAACTGTGGCGTAATAACGAATTTTTTAAAGCCCCTTTCAGCCTTTAAGTAAACTTGCAGAGCAACTAAAAATATGCTTACCAAAGAACTTTGATGTTTTTTTGTTAAAAGTAATAAACTTATTTTTACAATTTTTGAAAATTGCTGTGCCACCAACCTGGCTCACAATTATGTAAAAAACTGGTATCAGAAAAAAATTACTAATGATCGATATAAATTTGCACCGAATTTTTTTGCATGGGTCAGTCGGGCCACGAATTAATAGTTTAACCAGCAAATATTATATTATTTTTTTTTATATTAATGAAAGGATTGTCTATTTGACCCCAGATTAATTTGTTTGAATGGCAAAAATAATAAGAAAGGTATAAAATAATGCACCTGTAATTTAATGTGAAAAAAAAAATAATGCGAAATTTGGAATTGGCCAACTTTTGCTAGTACTCTGGCCAAATTCGGATTTTAAATTCGGCTATTTTTTTCAATCATTTATTTGGTTATGATTCTCATACCCTATCCATAAAATATATACTCTAGAGTTTAGTCTAGGCCAAAAAAATAATTAAATAAATAAATAAAAAAATGAAAATAAAAATTATTAAGATAGAGCTCTGATTTGAACTTTTTTAAATTATTTATTAATTTATAGAGTACATACTCATGTGTAATGTGCGTGTAAAATTCTCTTTTGTTCTCTAAAAATTTTAAGAATTAGAATTATTAGAATTAAAGAATTCATACGAGGATCTTTATTGAGCCTTACTTATAACTTACGTTATTGTTAAGTCGATTAGGAGTATGCGGGCTTTTAGTGACCGATATTTTTAAGAGACATCCAATATTGAAATCAGTATTAGTAACATTAATTCCTATTGACAATTCACTTATTAGATGGGATAGCTGATATTTCTATATCCTGCATGAACAGTACGGCTAGGAGCATTTTGAACTCGTATAGTCCTCAAATATTGTCTCATACAAATATAATGTTGTGGAAGATAAATTAGCATTGTTCTATCCATATTGGTTATATAAAAAAGATCTTTCTAGGTATTTTACTATTACTAAAAAAAAAAAGTTATATAAGAAGAATTAATTTAATGATATCTGTTTCAATTAATTCCTCGATATCTTCCACAACCGTTAACACTAATTAGAACAATGAAGTCTTTGTTTAATACTCGAATGCTAAGGGGCTATTTAATAATAGATTAATCTCGTTTGTAGGATAAATAATACTTTATTTAAGTAATATTTAAAAAATTACGTGCGGTACATCAATATAAAAAGTAAATATATAAATAAAATTTATAAAATATAAAAAAAAAAGTTAAACAATGATAAGAATTTAAGAAATAGATTCACGTTTAAGTTATATACGTTACGCAAATTATAATTTTTATTGTCGAAATTGAGTAAATTGATTATCCGTAGTACCCAAAGAAGAATAGTTCGAATAAGTATTATCTTGTTGAGGGAAGGTAGGTATAATGATGATTTTATAGCCAGGAATGTCAAAACTGAAGATTTCAGACTGAGAAGGGTTAATAGTAGTCATGTTAAATGAACCAAATGAAGAAGAAGTATTTTCAATAGGTTGCGGATGACCATACTGCTGAACATACGGCGAACTGATAGAAGTTGAGGGGATGTTTTCATTAGATGTGAGTTGATGAACGAAGTGATTATTATTTGTTTGAGATGTCGGAAAAATATTATCGTTCATGGGAAAGTCAGAATTGGCAGCGATATTTGGAAGATAACCTTGTTCCAGTTGAATAACATCAGGAGCGGTTGGTTGTAAATTATTGGATTCAGTAAAAATTTGATCATTTTGATCATTTTGGGAAGGATTATTATTCATGATTAAATTTGAAGAAATTTTTACAAATTAAAACTTTTTTTTTGTGGAGAGATTTCAGAAGTCCTTTTTATAAAAAAACCGTTATAATATAAGAATGATTGAATTGCAAGTTACTCAGAAAAAGACGTGCGTGCATATTACTCCTTACAGAAAATTAGTTTTGGCATGTTAATCAAAAAAAAAACTGACCGAATTTTTAAGGTGCTACAGAATATTAGTTTTGGCGTGTTAATCAAAAAAAAAAAA